AACAAGATAACATTTGTAGGTTTGTTCTTAGGTTGAATTTGTATGTAAGTCAGGACAGGTACTATTTAAAGTTTTTGATAGCACATGGGAGGGTTATTCCCCTTGCGGTGTTTATTTTGTTGTCTGTACCCCTGTTCAGAAGATTTCACCTCACTTTCTGTCCCTGTGATAAATGGATTTTGAAAATGTTGGGCTGCCGTGGAAACAAGGACTGGTGATAAAGCTTCAGTTGAGACATCTTTTCCCATGCTAACTCTTTTAACAGTGAATTTCCCTTCCGAGGGGTAGTTTTCTCTCACTTCCTGTTGTCGCACCCTGTTCTTAACTAAGAGTTATATGTAAGTGAATTTCCCTTCCAGACATGACCAAAACACGGAACTTCTCACAGGTTTAACTGAGGTGTCCAAATGACACCTCAGGTAAACCTGAATTAATCCGGAGTAAACTGGCATTTCCCAGTTTACTCCAGATTAATTTGACACCTGGAAAGATCCGCATCTTAATGTAAGGTCCAGATCTTTCCAGATATGGACTTCTGCGATCCTGAGGATCAATGCCCACATTGATCCTGCTTTGTAGCAAAATGACACCCCACTCTCACCTCCCAGCACCCCATTGACCCCAAAAACCTATGTAAGCAGCCTGGCTGAACACTCACAATACCCCCACACACACACACACACAAACCTCCTGACGCATCATTGTCACACGGCAGGAGCTTTCACTGGAGGGGCCTGACCATCCAGCCAGGCCTTCATGTACATTTAGTTTAAATGAAGGGCTGGGGGCTGGCACCATGTAGCCACCTCTCTAGGAAAGCCTAGAGCTTGGGGTAGGTGTGGGACCTCAATCTCAGTTCCTCACCCCCGTTCTTAACAATGAGTTGTTTGTAAATCGGATGTTTGTAACTCGGGGACTACCTGTTTCTTTCCTTGCTCTTCTAAGTTTTTTATGTACAGATAATACACAACAAATGCGAAAGCTCTCATATGTACCTTGATTAAGAAAAATGTCAGTTCCAGACAAAAGCTACCTTGGAACCATGTTCTTGTTATTATCCACTTGAAAAAGCAGATCTGTTAGTGTAGCCAATTGCTCCACACAATGTAGTAATATCTGTTTTTATCAAGATGTTCAGTGGCATCTGTCCAGCCTATCTTATCTTTGTTAGAAATGGAGAAAAATGTAGAGCATAGACATTTCTGGGGGGAAATTATTTCTAAATGAGAAGTTATTGCTGAGGTAATCAAGATCTGATGGAATTCAACACCATTTCAAGATTGATGTAATAATGTCACTGAGTTCTTGTCACATACGTTTGTTTGCTCTCTCTCCTTCCCCAAGTATAATTCTGTGAACTTTCTGAAATCACAACAATATGGACTGTTTCACACTACACATTTATAACATTTTGATACCACATTTCCTGACATTCCACTACCTGGTGACATCCATAGATTGTATTTATGGGAGGTATTTAAAATTATCTGCCAGAGAGTTCTAGCTCCACCAAACTATAAATCCTGAGAATGGAGCCATGGCAGAGAAAGAGCCATAGCACTGTTATTTTTCTTTTAGGACTGAAGGCTTGCTGTTGGATGCTTTTCATTGATTTTGCAGTAGCTTATCTTCTTCAGATATTTGAAGCCTGGTACTGTTTGGTGAACTAAGTTGTTTACTATTTAATTTAACAGTGTTTAATAGAATGCTTAGTCTCACAGTGGAGCTGCTGGTACTTATTGAGTAATCGCAACTCAAACACATTTAGCAGTTCTTTTTTCTGGATTGGCAGTTACGGGTAGATGGAAGAGAGACAGTGTGCTACCGCACAACATGCATTTACAATCCTGTGGCTGGAGCATGTCGCTCCTACTCATATCCAACTTCTAGAGATCCAAATGATTGCTCCATCAATAGGGAATGCATGGCCCTCCAGGTGTTGTTGAACTACAACTCCTATTATTCCTCACCAATGGATATGTAACCAATCCTCTGTTTCCATGGATTCTGCATCTATGAATTCCACATACCTTGAAATCCTTTAAAAAAATAAATTCTACAAAATGAATCTTAATTTTATAATTTTATATAAAGGATGTCATTTTACTATGGTACTGTATATAATGGAAATTGAACATGCTTGGATTTAGGTATCCATGAAGAAATCCTGGAACGAAACCCAAGCAGATTCCAAGGGCCCATTATACTGACTAGTTCTGATGAAAGTTGTATCTGCATGCCAATAGCATATAACCCATCTCTCACCTCTGGGTTACTGGAACAGTGTGATGAGGCAGAAGCCTTATGGGGAAAGCCCCTGGGAGAAGAGAGGCAATAAGTGCTGATTTAGCTCTTGAGAATGAAAAAGCAAATAGCTGGGAAGGAACAGAATCTGTGTAGTGTTTGGCTCCTAGCCATATGGAAATTGTGGTAAGAAGCTCTTAGGCTTAGGAACTTTAGCCAATCCTGTTATGGATTTTTACTAGCAAAAGATTTGTTGTTCTTAAACTTCCAGAGGCAACTTCACATGGCATACATCTTCAGTGAATACTTCTGAGGCATATTATCGTAATGGAAATAAAATATTTCATACTCAGTGTGAATTATTTCCTTAGTGACACAAGCTACAGTAAGTATGATCAAAAGGGGAAAGCTTCAAGCTGTTGAAGGAAATAGGAACAGACAAGGTGGAGGGGGAGATCATTGATTGCTGGGCAATTGGAGCCATTCAAGCATGTCTCCGAATTTGCTAAACAACCCCTGATCACTTGCCCTGCAAACATGGGGTTTTGAAAATACAGGATCCTAGGGAGGTACATCCACTATTTAGAGGATGCAAGAATGGGAATTGGTTGACCTCCAGATGTTGTTGACCTTCAAGTTCAACAACATCTTCATTTGCCAGTATAGCTAATGGTGAGGAGTGCCAAGAGTTATCCAAAAACACCTGGAGCACTGATTGATTCCCACCCATGATGTATTTAAACACAAATATTTAGACAGAACCTGAAACCCATATATGATGTATTTAACTTACCAGTGTTACAAACGGATACAAAAATGTTACATAGACATAGAGATCGTTGGAATAGTCAAGTCATATCATATTTTATATAAGCTCCAATTAATGGCATATTACAACTTCTCGTTGTGACAAATGTCATGGCATTATACTGATTGTACATCTGTCTCTCACTAGGTAGCCAACCCTATATATACCCTGTTGAAGTCAATGTGAAAAATCAATTATTAATTGAAATCCTACTGATTTCAAGGGATAGTGACGAAACTATTTCCCTTGAAATCTGTATCCAACTTTTCCAAGTTTATCTTAAATGCATTTTGATTATCTGTTTTAGGAGACTACACTTTTGTTCTGTTCTGCCTTCATCCTATACTCATACCAACTGTCCTGATGGACATGAACAGTCCCAATCAATCCTCAGTAGTCCCCTTTTTTCAAGTATCCCAGTATCTCTTTGTCTTCTTCCTACTTTCTGCCTTTGTCATCAGCTTACCTCCACTATAGCAAATTAAGTTCAAATGCAAAAGTATTCAATTAGCTTAGCAAGGCGAAGAAGAGAGGCGGTGGTAGAATATTTCCTTTTCCATTAGGCTCAGGCAAAAGCAAATTAACTTGTGCCTTCTTTGTTATTAATAATTTTTGCCGTTTTGACCACATTCTTATGTTGCTTAGCATACATCTTGTTATCCATAGGATCATAGAATCATAGAGTTGGAAGAGACCTCTTGGGCCACCCAGGCCAACCCCCTGCCAAGAAGCAGGAAAATCTCATTCAAAGCCCCCCAAACAAATGGCCATCCAGACTCTGTTTAAAAGCTTCCAATGAAAGAGCCACCACCACACTCTGGGGCAGAGAGTTCCACTGCTGAACAGCTCTCACAGTCAGGAGTTCTTTGTCATGTTCAGGTGGAATCTCCTTTTCTGTATTTTGAAGCCATTATTCCATGTCTTGTTCTCCAGGGCAGCAGAAAACAAATCTGCTCCCTCTTCCCTATGACTTCCCCTCACATATTATACATGGCCATCATGTCACCTCTTAACCTTCCCTTCTGCAGGCTAAACATGACCAGCTCTTTAAGACACTCCTCATAGGGTTTGTTCTCCAGGTCATCCTCCGCTGGACACATTCCAGCTTAACAACATCTCCCTTCAATTGCGGTGCCCAGAATTAGACACAGTATTCCAGGTGTGTTCTGACCAAGGCAGAATAGAGGGGTATCATGACTTCCCTGAATCTAGACACTATACTTCTATTTATGCCGGCCAAAATCCCATTGGTTTTTTAAGCTGTGATATGTCATAGAGTGCAGTTTATCTCTTTTATGTATTGTTTGTTTCAATGTAATCCACATGTTCTTACTTAGTTTGGATTTTTGAAAGGATGGTATACATAACCCGTTTGTTATCGGCAAGGCACCAGTGTTCCTACTGGAGCACATTTAATTGTGTTTGTAATTGTGTGTTTAATTAATTACAGTCATGATCATAAAAATACATTCTCTGGAAATACATGTTGTTTTTGTTTTTCCTAAATGTACATTGGTAGCTGAAAATAGGAAACAAAGGCTCAGTATTATTCTGGGCTATTTCAGTTTCACATGTGATCATTCAGGAATCTCTTCTGTCCCATTTCTACATTAATCTAAGGATATTTCAGAGCTAAAAAGAATACAACATGTTGTGTTTCATACTTAGAAAAATGTACATATCTGAAAGATAACTGCATTCCAATGTGTTTATCAGTCAGGAAAATGAGCTTCGGGCCAGCTGTTCTTCAAAATACAGACTAAACAAAATCCTTGAACATCTTTAGTTGGACTGTTTCAAGAACAATGATGCTGTCATGGGGTGGAACAATAAATTGTATTTGGTTAATAAGGCTGAACCGCTCCAGTTTACTTCTCTTCAGGGGTCTATGGTATGCAGTCTTGTATCGTTGCAGAGACTTAACCATTGCCTTCTTGTTTCCTTTTAGTTGGGCCGCACATAGGCCGATACTGTGGACAAAACACACCAGGTCGTATCCGCTCTTCAACGGGCATCCTTTCTATGGTTTTCTACACGGACAGCGCAATAGCAAAGGAAGGATTCTCTGCAAACTACACTGTCTTGCAGAACAGTGTATCAGAAGGTCAGTGTTTAACCATCCTACAGAGCATTCTCCGTAAAGGTTCACCTCCTGCTGGGTGCTGTATGAAATATTAAACAAAACTTTATCTAAATAAGGACTTTGACATTTGTTGTAAATCGGTCTGTCTGCCTCTTTTTCAAGTGGGTAACCTTTGCTTGTCAATGCTGAAATGCATTGCCTCTCAGATTTATCCTCTAAGAAGTCAGGAGGTTGTGGAAAACCTCCCCCATTTCAGTGGAAATTGAGAACAGGTCATAATAGTAAAGCCTAAACCAAGACCTAGAGCAATTTGGATTTATGAAGTCAAAATACCGTGCACAACCTCTCCTCTAAGCACGTTGGGCCAAACTGCAATAAGCAGGCTCAGTTAGGCAATGGGATATATGTGATGTGACTGACATTCTAGTAATCTCAATAGGTCTATTCTATTTATTTATTATTTATTAATTATTTACTTTGCTTATATACCGCTGTATCTCAAGCCCGAAGGCGACTCACAGCGGTTCACAAACAGTAAAAACAGTAGAAACAGCAGTGGTTCCATACAACATATAACAATTGACTTAACACATTATCCATAAATTACCAATAAGCAATTACAATGCACAATTATTATGAAAAACAACTGTACCCAATCTTCTCATCATCCAAGCGTAGTCCAGGTTCGTCGTCCATTGTTCCATTCCTATATTCCATTACCAGATTGCACTAAATTACTCAAACGCCTGCACAAACATCCAGGTCTTCACCTTTTTGCGGCCTAATGTTCTAGCTAGGCCTAATGTTAAAATGACACCCATTGTAGCTTATTTAGGGCATCTGATTACTGCAAAGGTCCAAAAAAAAGCTGAAAAATGAAAAGGCAGTATATTTGGTCCAGAAGTTCAATCGACCAAACATTCTTTCAGACTGGGTTGTTGTAGGTTTTTTCAGGCTATATGGCCATGTTCTAGAGGCATTGTCTCCTGACGTTTTGCCTGCATCTATGGCAAGCATCATCAGAGGTAGTGAGGTCTGCTGGAACTAGGAACAGACCTCACTACCTCTGAGGATGCTTGCCATAGATGCAGGAGAAACATCAGGAAAAATGTCTCTAGAACATGGCCATATAGCCCGAAAAAACCTACAACCCAGTGATTCCGGCCATGAAAGCCTTCGACAATACATTCTTTCTGGTTATATGGGTAGCAGCTAGGAGCCTTGCAAAGACAGAGCATTGTCATTAGTGTAAGTTTTGTGCAAATTCCAACTAATTTCTAACCTGGGTTGTTGTGAGTTTACCGGGCTGTATGGCCATGTTCCAGAAGCATGGTGGTTGTTAGAGTTGTTACTTCAACTAGAAAAGTCAGCCATAACAGAGCAGTTGATGAACCAACCTGGACACAGCATTTTATTTGAGAACACAAAAATGCTGGACCACACCAACAACCACCATGTCAGGCTACACAGAGAAGCCTGTGGACAATTCCAACAGAAAGGAAGAAACCATGAAAGTGAACAAAATCTGGCTACCAGTATTAAAAAAATTCTAAAATCAAAACAGTAGATAAAGAACAACACTCAAAAACAAGGGAATTCCAGACAAAGATTTCTCCCAAACAGTAAAAAGCCAGACCTTGAAACTGCCCGGCCATTAAATATTAATCAAGGTGGCCAATTAAAACATTTATACCAACCTCAAAAAGACAAGAGTTCTTTCTCCCACCCTAGCCATTCCACAGGCATATAAACACGATTTTCCTAGTTTCCAACAGACCTCACAACCTCTGAGGATGCCTGCCATAGATGCAGGCGAAACGTCAGAAGAGAATGCTTCTGGAACATAGCCATACAACTCCATAAATTCACAACAACCCAGTGATTCTGGCCATGAAACCTTCGAAAATATAATTTCTAAGCTTTTCACTAAAATCGCTCATACATTAGCCATACGGTCAGTTTCAGTATATGTATAAAGAAAGAAAGAATAGAGAGGCTTATGGCACATTGAAGAACCAATTTATTACAGTGTAAGCCCACTTGCATCTTGGCTTAAATCTGCCAAAGCTTATCTTAAAACACGTTAATTAGTTTTTAAGTGTGCCACACAACTCTTTCTCCTTCTCAGTCTTTATACTGAATTGATGTGGTAGCATGTGTACACCTGCCTATGCATATGCATTAGGATAAATATATCCTAGTTGTAGTAGTATTCATAAAGGTCTGCCTCAACAGAAAAAGGCACAAGGGACTCTTTAAGAAGTTTTGAGTATTCAAAATGTAACAAGGATTAACATTATTACTTATTAGCTAGTTCAAAACAATTCAACTAAAAATTACCTGGATTAAAATTTTACTTTGAACCACGTGATATTCTTTTTTCCACCATTTAGTGAAGTGACACCCCTATAATTAGTAATATAATTTTAAAATTACAGCACAAAAAGAATGAAATATTCATTAAGTTACTACTGCAGTGAAACTTCTTGCTGTCTAAGGTGATATTTGTCCATATGGAGAAGTCCAATTGGGCCTGCTCAGTCCTTTAGATTAAGACAGTGGTTCTCAACCTTCCTAATACTGCAACCCCTTAATACAGTGCCTCGTGTTATGGTGACCCTCAACCATACAATTATTTTTGTTTCTTCTTCATAACTGTAATTTTGCTACTGTTATGAATTATAATGTTATTATCTGATATGAAGGATTTATTTTCATTCACTGAACCAAATTTGACACAAATACCCAATACGCCCAAATTTGAATACTGGTGAGGTTGGGTGGATCGATGTTGTCATTTGAGAGTTGTAGTTGCTGGGACTTATAGTTAACCTACAATCAAGGAGAATTCTGAACTCCACCAACAATGGAATTGAACCAAACTTGGCACACAGAACTCCCATAACCAAGAGAAAATACTGGAAGAGTTTGGTGGGCATTGAATTCTGGAGTTGTAGTTCACCTATATCCATAAAGCACTGTGGACTCAAACAACGATGGGTCCGGACCAAACGTGGCATGAATACTCAATATGCCCAAATGTGAACACTGGTGCAGTTTGGGGAAAATAGACCTTGTCATTTGGGAGCTGTAGTTGCTGGGATTTATAGTTCACCTACAATCAAAGAGCATTCTGACCCCCACCGACGATAGAATTGGGCCAAACTTCCCACATAGAACCCCCATGACCAACAGAAAATACTGTGTTTTCTGATGGTCTTTGCCGACCCCCATGGCACCTCCCTCGCAACCCCCCCCCCCCCCCCCCGGTCCTGACCCTCAGGTTGAGAAACACTGGATTAAGACTTAGTTTAGATTCATCAACTCTAGACTACATGACACAACTTGCTGGATACAGCAACTGCAATTGTTAGTTATTTACTGCTCTTATTTACAAATTGTCTCATGTGCTCTATGTTCAAAGAAACATTGCTTATCTCAATGCCAAGTAGAGTGATGGACAATACTGTAATTCACAGTTTCATATCTTACCATACAGTTCTGCATTATTTAAAAAGTCTGATTTATTCATGATTGTCTGTTACTAAACCTTTCTGAAATCCTTTCTCTCAAAAGAGGTTGATGACCAAACCTCATTTGGTTATATTTTTTAAAATGCTTTTAAAAAATCTTCAAATAGAATTAAAATTGTAGGGAACGCGAGGTTAATCATACCCTTGTCACATTGCTGTTACTTCCTGATGTTTAAAACATTTCGCAGCAGGTCTCTTGTTAATATGTATTGCTACACTTAGATTTAGTGCCCCCTTTTTGTCTGAATTTAATGCTTGTCATAGGGACTGATAGCTGGAGGAGAAAAAGTGTATGAAGGCCTCGGGCACTCTGCTGCATTTAAATGATATTTAATTGTTTTCCCTTTTGTACACTGGGTATGTTGCTGGATGTTATGAGAAAACCCTAAACATTTTAGATGTTGGTGTGATATTGAAATGTTTGCTTTCACTGTATTATTTTTTAGGCATCAGTAGGAGTACAGTGAAATCACTGAAAGAATATAGTGCTGAAAGAATTAGAGTTTTCTTCAATTACTATCTGAAAAAAGGGAAAGGATGATGATGATGATAATAATAATAATAATAATAATAATAATAATAATAATAATAATAATAATACTCTGGGACTTCCGAATTCAGACAGACAGAGCTTTGGAGCACAATACCCCTGACATCATGATCGTGTTAAAAAACAAAGTATGGATTGTCGATGTTGCAATCTCAGGTGACAGCAGGATTGAAGAGAAACAATTGGAAAAGCTGACACGATATGAGGATTTAAAGATCAAACTGCAAAGACTGTGGCACAAGCCAGTCAAGGTGTTCCCAGTGGTGATCGGCACACTTGATGCAGTGCCTAAAGACCTTGGCATGCACTTAAACACAATCGGCACTGTCAAAATTACTATCTGCCAGCTGCAAAAGGCCACCTTACTGGAATCTGCATGCATTATTCGCCAATACATCACACAGTTCTAGATACATGGGAAGTGTCCGATGTGTGATACAATACAACAACCAGCAGAGTGATCTTGTCTGCTGTGGACTCATCTTGTTGTATTTTGAATAATAATAACTTGTATTTATATTCCACCCTATCTCCTCAGGGGGACTCAGGGCAGATTCCAACATACAAAGGCAAAGTTTCAATGCCACCATGGAACAAACAAGTATGAACATAATAATCCCAGAAAAATCCCACATAGGAAAACAACATTAGAGTCTAACATCACTAAATTAAACAAAACATAATCAAACAAAATTATAAAATAAAATAAAATCTGAAGATAAAACATCCACACTGTAAGCCAACTAAAGTTCACAAAGTTATGTGAGTTGGTTGTGTGGCCAATGATAGTAACTGGGCTAACGTGGACTAAAAAGGAGGTGGCTATTAGGTAGGATCACCATTATCTAACCATTGTAACAATAAAAATGCACCACTTTTAATTTATTGAAAGTTAATAATCATGAGTCCCCACCCTGCAAAAAGAACTGGATCTCACAAACCTGGCTAAATCTGGAAATAATGCTTGTATAGTAAATGCTCATATTCAACATAATGTAATGTAGGCAGAGCAGAACTTTGATAGGGAAGTCATTTAAATACCCTTTTTATGCAGACCTTCAGCTTTTAATTGGTGCTAGAAAATGGATCTTGTAATATGGTCTGTTCTTTTATCTGTACTGTGCTTTGTGTTGTAACTGTTTGAAATGTTTTGATCAGATTATTTAGGTTTTTTTTAAAAGTTTGTGTTATTCATTGTATTTTCTGTATTTTTACTTATTCTAAGCCACTTTTGGGTCCCATGCTAGGAGAAAGACAAGATTAGTGAGAAATAACTTGAAGTCCCAGAACAAGATATCATTTTTACACCGAGTACAATGTTTTTGCATAAATGTAATGTTCACACAAGAGTCTCAAAATGACAAGAGAAAAATCAAATTATACTGAGATTCTTGTAATCTTATCCAGTAGGGAGAAAGCTATTGGCAGTTTTCATGTTTGTGAGAAACAAAAATAAATTAGTATCTTTGTTCTTTAATCTTGAATTGAAAATTATGTTTCGGATGTGTTGAAAACTGTCAACATCTCAGAAGTCTAGAGCAGTCCTACATTAAGAATAGATACTAATTTTTCAGCATTATCAAAATATGAACTGGTTTAATTATTCTATCTCAGTTGTTCCCAACCTGTGGTCTGTGGAACAAAAATATTGGTCTGCAGGAAGAAAAATATGGTACGTGGCCTCACCATTAGTACATCATTGCTTCAAAACCACATGCAATAGAAGCGAGTTGTCTCACGAAACTGACTGATAGTGCTTAGGCAATGGGGATGTCGGGAGGGGAGAGGCTGATTACCCATGAAAGATTACTACTACCACATCAGCTCTAGATTATTAAATATGGTTTTCTGTGGGTGAGCAGATGGTGACTACTGGATGGCATATCTTCTAGAGCTAATGTGGTCTAGCCAGTGCAATTTTCTGAGTCAGTACCCCAAATAACCAAACCGAATCAAAAGTTGACCAAAAACTAATTCGTAACCCTTTCGGTACTAATGTTGGAAAGTAGTCCCTGGTCAAAGTGGTCTCTGGTTTTTTTAAAAAAGGTTGTGAACCACTGTTCTATCTGATTATTCTGACATTACAATGTACCTGTCACTATATTGCATACTTCCAAAACACAGTATCAGAATTAGACCAAAACTGCCAGAAAGAGACTATTTGGCCTCACTGGATGAAACTGAAGTACAGTATTTAAGCAGTATTTTTTAGGAGTAGAATAGATGCAGTAAAGAGCAAGTAATGTTAGTGCCATTTTAATCAGTGTCTTCAGTTGGCTGCAGCCATCCCTTTTTGTTATAGTTGTTCTTCAATTTGGAAAGTTTGTGCTACTGAACAGCTTGCTACTTTCAGATTTCCAGTGTGCTGAACCACTCGGCATGGAGTCTGGTGAAATTCATTCCGACCAAATCAGTGCCTCTTCCCAGTACAGTACCAACTGGTCTTCTGAAAGGTCCCGATTAAATTACCCTGAAAACGGATGGACACCTGGAGAAGACTCCAGCAGAGAATGGATACAGGTACAAAAAGATTGTCAACTCATACTAATAAAACTTGCAACTCTTTCAGGGGGATATAAAGAAGGAAAAACTGAGAGGGCGCCTTCTGAAAGAAATAAACTGGGATACATCAATTACAAATAGGCCTGCATAATAGAGATGGCACTGCACCCAAACACCCTTTGTTAGGTACATATTCTCCATAGAGTTGGGCCTGTTTCCAGATGGGAGTTGTGTATGTGTGCGTGTCAAGATTTATGTTGGTGCTTCCTGCCAAGTCTTCTGGGTACAAATAACAGAGATTTTGCTTTAGTGGGAAAAGTCAATATTAGTTCAGGAGACCCTTAAGGTGAAACAATCTGCTAAACAGCCTCTCCTAGCTTTTAGTTGAATGATACTCAAGTGCTAGTGAGGTTTTTCACTTTTGAAGACCTAAATCTTACACAACGTTTAACAAAGAGAAGGATTAGTATATTGGCCTTAGTCTATAGCACCAGTAAAGAAAAATAGCATGCCAGTACAGTTCTGTTGTTTTTTTTCCATTTGCCCAAGTAATAGCAAACATGTTCCTACTGCCCTTAGACATGCAACCAGTTGTGCAATCAATTCAGCAACTGTTTCCAATACCAGTTACACAAATGGAAAATGTGTTGTATTCCTGCTTTTGTATATAGTCTGGAACTAGATTGCACAGTGGCACCATGAGATATTCGCCATTGTTTTTAGTACTTGAAAACTTGTACCCATAAATCAAACAGTGACATAGCATGTGACCAGAGGGCATAAGAAAGAGGAAATTGCGGTTGGCTTTGTAAGTTCAAAATAAATTTTAAAATAAAATCTGAAATGCAGGAGTGTAGAACTCAGTATACAAGCAGGGGAACTTAAGAGCCAAGGAACTATAAGAAACATTTAGTTTGTAAGTGTTTACCTTTTGTGCGACAACATATTCAGTGCCACTTGTCAGGAAGATGCAGAAAATTGATCCTTAAAATTGTCATATGTATATCGCAGTAAGTGTTTAATGATGTTCATCCTCTGAATCACATGTGGGATAGTTTTAGATTTTAAAAGAAGTTTTAGTAGGGATTCAGCATGTCAGTAGTGGAACAGAAGATGACTCTGGCATAGTTAACTATTGCGTGTACAGTAAAGGAAACTTGCAATCTGATTTGCCCAACGGAACAAGCGCGGATGGTCGGAATGAGAGAGAGACCTTTTTTGGTGGTGGTCCCACGGCTCTGGAACTCCCTTCCTAGAGAGGCATGATCAGCCCCCTCCTTCCTGGACTTTCAAAATGCATATGTATTTTATGTATTTCTGCTTTTTAAATCTTTGTACACTGCTTTGAATCCTGCCCATGGGAGAAAAGTGGGATAAAAATGAATAAATAATAACTGAACTTACTTACTTACTTACTTACTTAAGTGATCTCTCGTAGCCCAAGGATGATGGTCCTCCAAGTGTAATGTCTTGGTGGTGGGTCAGCAGGAGGCTGTGGAGCCCTTTTCTTGACCCACATGTTCTTCCGCAATGAGGACATCGGTTTCCAGATGGAAGACGGTCCCAGTCAGAGTTGGCTTGATGCACATTCCTCTTGGCATGTTTCTTCCTTTTGCCTTCCATTCATGCCTCTTTGAATTCTGCAGCACTGCTGGTCACAGCTGACCTCCAGTTAGAGCGCTCAAGGGCCAGGGCTCCCCAGTTCTTAGTGTCTATGCCATAGTTTTTAAGGTTGGCTTTAAGCCCATCTTTAAATCTCTTTTTCTGCCCAGCAACATTACGCTTTCAGTTTTTGAGTTGGGAGTATAGTAACTACTTTGGGAGATGGTGATCGGGCATTCGGACAATGTGGCCAGTTCAGCAGAGTTGATGGCGGAGTACCATCGCTTTAATGCTTGTGGTCTTTGCTTCTTCCAGCACACTGACATTTGTCCACCTGAACACAATGCTTGTGATATAACCATGGTTCTTGTTGTCCCTACCTAATAGAGAAAGCAAGCAAGAGCAAGCCAAGGACCCAATACTAAATTTTTAGCAATTCTTTTAAAATGTTTAATCTACAGTATAATAAACCAGTTGCACAGTCAAAGGTTGGACTAGAACAGTGGTTCTCAACCTTCCTAATGCCACGATCACTTAATACGGTTCCTCATGTTGTGGGTACCCCTAATCATACAATTCTTTTCGTTGCTACTTCATAACTGTAATTTTACTACTGTTATGAAACATAATGTAAATATCTGATTTCCAGGATGTATTTTCATTCACTGGACCACATTTGGCACAAATGCCTGATATACCCAAATTTGAATACTGGTGGGTTTCGGGGGGATTGATTTTGTCATTTGGGAGTTGTAGTTGCTGGGATTTATAGTTCACCTACAATCAAAGGGCATTCTGAACCTCACCAATGATATAATTGGGCTAAACTTCCCACATAGAACCCCCATGACCAACAGAAATTACTGTGTTTTCTGATGGTCCTTGGTGACCCCTATGACACCCCCTCATGACCCCCCCAGGGGTCCCGACCCCCAGGTTGAGAAACACTGGACTAGATCTTCCCCCTGTGACATGAGAAGTCATTTTCAGCTTTGCAGTGGACATTGTGCTGCTGCAATGACATTTTTGGATTCAAGCCTGTGCCTTCATGATTCCCCCTCGCTCCAGATTATTGAAATACAGTGGGCCCACCATATCCACAGGCGCTGCAACTACAAATTCAACCCAACATTAATTTTCATTCATTCATGTGTGTGTGTGTGTGTGTATCAGAAAGTCTTGCCACAGTTCGTGAATTCACAGTTGTGAATACTGCACAAATGGACTAAATGAATATCCTTAGATGGTTAGGGTGTGTTTTTTAAGAGTATGATGACAATTCAAAGAGTTATGTTTAATAAATAACATAACATTTTCCCGATGCAGTTTAATTAGAAACTTCATTTTCTTCTTTAGTTGTGATTTCAATGCAGCTGATGACAGTAGGAATCAAGAGAGAAATGTTCATGTTTGTTAGATTATTAATGCGGCATTGAAAGCTTCCAGGAGTTCTAACTAACTGGGGCATTCTTTGCACTTTTATTGTTTTCCATAGGAAATATCTAACTGACATATAAGAATAATGCATCATTAGCCGTCAATAAGAGCGTTCACATCAGCATTTCCTCTGAGGTTTGCTGTCTGCAAGAAAGCTTAAAAACATGTTGAGTGGTAATCAGCAAGGGGAAGAAAGTCAGGGGAAATCTTTCATTCTTGATCCTTTGGTAAACACTGGGACTCTCAAGTGTCCTGCTTATGAGCCTCAACACATCCCGAGCTTCTGAAAACCAGTTAATTGTAAATGATAATTTTAATCACACTTCAGGACGACAAACAGAAATCAGTTGATTCTTAATCTCCAAGGAAAAAGAGTAGGAAAATCTGGAAAACCTTAACTCTAAATGTTGGATTTAATCGCTGCCACTTATAGCCACAGAGGGCTTGGAAACATAAAAATTTCATTCCGTATCTTTTATAGCCCCATCCTTTCCAAAAGAAAAGTTATGTTCTGCTCATATTGACTAATGCATACATTAGTAAAGAAAAATATCACTCAGGCTGCAATTTTTATGTGTTCACTACTAAGTAGATATTAAATATAGTAAAATTCAAATGAATTTTTTTAAAAGAAAGAGTACTTTCCAGAAGAGCTAACAGGAAGTAATAACATGTATAAATATGCCAAATGTATGTATCAAGCTCCTGATTAAAAGAGTATTGTACAAAGGATGTTATTTCAGAATCTGCTGTTGATTTTGGCATATCACCTTTGTACTACTAGAGTCAATCCTGTTATATATGAGTAATGTGAACAACAGACGGAAAGTTTAAGTTTTGCAGATTTGATTATTCACAGATTTATGTGAACTCTAGGGATCTATAGGTCCTCTTGCATGACTGTGCTCAACTTCCAATGGACCTAGAGATTCCTAGAGAGAATATTTCTGTACTTCTCTAGATATTTATAGGTCCTCCAGTACAATTCTATGGTCACAATTTAAAAAATGCTAACCATACACTTGTGCTAAAGGACTTATAGATTCCTAGAGAAGTGTCGTGTCTTAGGTTTAAAAAATAGGGTTATTTTAAAAAAAGGTAAAGGTAAAGGTTTCGCTTGACATTAAGTCTAGTCATGTCCGACTGGAGATTGGTGCTCATCTCCATTTCTAAGCCAAAGAGCCGCCATTTTCAGTAGACACCTCCAAGGTCATGTAGGTAGCATGACTGCATAGAGCGCCGTTACCTTCTCGAATAAGTGGTGCCTATTGATCTACTCACATTTGCATGTTTTTGAACTGCTAGGTTGGCAGACGCTGTGGCAAACAGCAGGAGCTCACTGTGCTCCCTGGTTTCAAACCACCAACCTTTCAGCCAGCAAGTCCAGCAGCTCTGCGGTTTAACCTGCTGCCCCACCAAGGGGCCCCTAGGGTTATTTACTTACTTTTTTCAATTTCATTTGGATCCTGCACCCCTCACTTCCAGCAAATATGGAATGTCTTCTGTATAATTCTCAAGTTAGTGTGTGATTAAGGATGAAACAAATATACACAAAAGTAGCTGACACCTTGAATTTTTAGATTACAAAAATATATGTACGTTTATTCATCCCTATATGCCTACATATTATTCTTAATGAAAAACATGGGGAAAAAGAAGGGAGAAAAATATGCATGAGACTGACATGTTAGTAGACACATAAACTTCCATTTAGCAAAATACATGATGGGCTCCACATTTTGGGAACATGATATTGGGCATAAATAGGGAACTCTGTTTAAATTACTCATATATGTTAAGAAAGATTAATTCTTTGTGAGTTGAACTGAAGGCGCTCATCTAATTGAAGGAAAAAATTAGTCTGTTCTCCCCGAAGACTAAATCTGTAGCACAACAAACTTCAAGTAATTGAAGTCTAATTTACAGCCAGAGAATGGTAAAATTTCCATCGGCTTTGAATTACACAAAAAAATCAGTAT